CGTATATATATATATATATGTATTTTTTTTTTTTTCAATGCAAATCATTTGATAGGAGTATTTGATTAATTTCTCCTCCCCTTCTATCTATTTTAGGGTATTCGATATTTTATATTAAAAAAGGATAAATAATGTTTTTTGTTGATACAAAAAAGTATTTTCATATAATAAATATTCACATATTAAATTTAATTTTCAAAGTACTTACTTACCTAACTTTGAGATAAAATCTTCAAAAAGCAATTGTATAAATAATTAATGAAATGGGGAAAAATTGAAAATTAAATATATTTACAACGATAATTGTAGAAAGTATAGAGAGAAGGTAGTGTTGATATTATATACTTGAAGTAGACAGATATAATATAAAAGAAGTAAAGGAAATATAAACACAATGATTTTTAGAATAAATCAACCAACAAAGTATCCATTTTTGTCATATTTTACTTTCTTGGACATGTAAGTATTACAGTAGTTATTTATCTACTTTCAGTGTTTACCAGACAATATTATCTTTATTGTTAAAATGAATCATATCATTTTCTTCAAACCTCCTATCTCAAGCTAGACAAGAATTAGGATATTATTTTTTCCCCAATTAGAGAACTCACATCTACGTGCAGTGGTGTCAATAAAAATAAAAGTGAAAATAAAAATGTTAGAATAGGGTCCAAAATGAACTTGAATTTTTGTCTAAGATATATATATATATATATATATAAATGATGTATCAGGAACCTTTCCCCGGTACAAACATGCAAGACAGTAAAAACAAGAAATAAATTAAACTAGTTTTCTTGCTTATTAATTGAGTTAATTGTATGTATGTACACAATGTAGAAAGTAATAGCTATCCTTACAAAAATTAACTTTGGAGAGACCAAAGTTTATTAATTAAGTTGCGGATATTTGAAGACTGAAGATACCATAAGAGATGATTTAATCTCTCGTACTGCCGAAGGTAAAAAAGCAATATTACCAAGTTGTTATAAGAAACAAGCATTATCTTAATAATAGTTTAGGTAACAAATAAATATATATATATATA